GGTAAGCTCAAGAGACCCATTAATAAATGGTATATGTTACCTGTCTAAAGTTGCACAAGTCTGAGTTTTAACTACTTCAGGTTTTTTTTATTTAATTACGCTATATAATTCCTATTTATACTTCAATTAGCTATTGTAATTTCGGACCAAATGTTCAATACTGGTATTCGGTATTTTTTAGCTCATAATACCAGTTTTAATATGAGTAGAAAGAATTTTAGAAAAAAAAAAAAAAAAAACACAGCTGTTTCTTTGTTTTATTTGCCAATTTTATTAGAGAGAATTAATATCACAAAAAATCATTTGTAACTTATAAAGAATCACAAAAAAACAACCAAATAAGGAACATTTTATGTATTTAAATCGCAAAAAAGTGTAAATATCACTATTCAGTCTGTGGTACTATTACAAATTTTTGAAATGTGACCTTAAAAAGCATAATGCATCAATTGTACAGTCATTAAGCCTGGAACGTAATTTTGTGCAAAAATTACCAGCTGTAGAAAATGCTCTTTCAGCATCTACGTTAATTGCTGGTACTGTTAGCAATGTGTGATATACTTTTCCCAAGCATTTACCTCTAAATCCCTCATCTTCAAATAAATCAATTTCTCGTTGGATGCTTTTGGATGTAACCAATTTCTCTATTGTATTTTGGGTTGATGAAATTTTTTTAGTTATCGCCAATTCTAATTTTTGTTCACGAGACAATTCCTTTTCACTATCAATATCAACATCAGTGTCATCATCACTTTCGATTACTGTACCGAATTTTTCTGAATGTGGATAAGTTTGTGGGTAAAACATTTTAAAAAACTTTACTATAAACTTGATCAAATTTGATTTGGTTAGTCTCTTTTCATTTTTAAAATCATTATTATTATATAAATACCGTAAGGCATTTTCTATTTTGGTATGCCTTTTTTCTGTGCAATTTTTTAATGTAATATATAATTCTTCAGATAAGAATAAATTGAATTTAATTAAATAAATTAAATTTAAATACAAATTTAATTAAATAATTCTTTGCGCCATTGCTGCAAGGAATGAAATTTATTAAATTTTAACAAACACGTATAAAAGTAAAAAAGCAAATTTAAAGTCAAAATTAAATTTAAAGCCAAAACATTTTTAAAAAAATATATAAAAAAATGTGCAAACATATAAAGGAATTAAAGTAATATGTACTATTCTTTCAGTGATTGCAACAGGAAATTTATTGTTGTATTAACTGTTAATAAATTAGAATCTCTCCAACACAATCCCTCCACAGCCAGTTTTATTGGAAGTAGAGCTGATACAGTTCTGGATATTAAGTCGAATTCACTATTAGAAAAATTAATTTGCAGGTTTAAGTCGATTATTGCTTTTTGGATTGGATTTTTATGTTTCAAAAATCGTTCCATCATTAGGAGTAAACTGTTCCAACGTGTTTTAGAATCTAATATTAATAGATGTTCTGTTTTATTTTCAGTTAGTATATATTTTTGTAATAAGGCATTTTTTGTAGGGGAACATTCAAATATCTTAATTTTTTTTTTAAACTTTATTAATTATACGAAGCAATTCTTGATGAGTGAATATTTCATCCTCATTAGCAATATCCTCTTCAACAATTACATTGTAATTCTTCATTGTCGGTATCACTCTCACTCTCTTTAAAGTCGGGATCAGAAATTTCTATATCCACAGGATTTGAGTTCTTCTGTTCTTTATTTTTTTGGTATTAATACATCTATTACTCCAAATGGAATTTTATGAACATAGCACAATTGCAGATTCCCACCAATCAACTTTCCAACTTTTTTCATAACTGTTGCTCCACAAGTTATTATGGATACAATGTCTTCTTTCAGGGATAATCTATGTTTCTCTAATTTAGATTTAAGCACTTCCACACATTTTTTTGGCTGGCATACTTCCCGAGACATGTGCAAGTCCTATATGCCAAAATTTTTTTCCTGAATGAATATTTAAACAGTGTCTATTTCTTGCACTTGTCCATTATCGAATGAAATACTAAATTTTTCACAATTTACTTTTAATTGTATTAACTCGTGTTTGAAGGAATTGCAAACACCGTTATTGTAGTTTATAACAGTTCTGCTTATAGTGTTAATCGATGTTGGTAGTTTTTAAAACCTCTGACAGATAGCGATTTTCTTAATTCAGTAGAAGTGCAAAACACTTGAAATGGCAAATCATCTAATGCTATCATTTTACTTATAATTTCATCCAAATTGTCTTTTTTTTTTTTTTTTTTTTAACCAAAGTAAACTAAAATCTATAATGACTTGGGCTTAGAAACTGTGCTTAATTTTGTATCTTCATCACAATTACATTCTTTCCTCTTTAACAAATTTGTATCATGTTTCATTTTTAAAAGTGGGAGTCCACTTGTACTTCCCCCATTCACCTTTAATAACTCTTGAATATTTTTTACTTTGTGCCACCATATTCTTTCCCTCATATAAATAATAAAACCCAACCGAAGTATTATCAACAGATTTTTGTGTTATTCTTATTCATTATTATAGGTTTATTAATTATAGGTATATAATAAATCCAAAATATATTTTGAACCCTAAAGTATCTTATGCAAATATAATGTGAATAACAAACTCGCCAATTTTAAAAATATCGAAATTTTTCAAACTATTATGCACTTTCTTCACAACTACAACCTTGTTTTCACAGATACGAATGTCAGACTATGAATTCTGTGTGTGTGCAGCATAGCACTAAGCTGATTTAGGACAGGGAAGTTTATTCCCGCCTCTTTGGATGATTCACATATTATATCACTTCTCCAGACTGCACGATGCAACTTTATCTTCACAGTCTAATTAATTTCGCCCGTTAGGAAGACATAAAAACAAAAACGTATACTATTTTGCTATGTTGGCAACCCCTGAACATATATAGCAGAGACAATTTAAAAAATTTCTCGTAAATACCAAAAAAAAAAAAAAAAATTTAAACTTGTGAATACCAATATTACAAAATTGTACAAATAGCTCAAAATACTGGTATTCGGTATCTCGGTGTATTGCAATCCCTAATTGTAATCATTTTATAAACTTAGCACTACCCATTTAAGTGCATGGAGCTATTTATTGCAAAGTTATATTTAAGAGGAGTTATGTTAGCTAATAATTAATGCAATGCTTATTAATAGGTAATCTGCATTAATGTTGTTAGCATATATAAGTAGTTTTAATTGTAATAGTCTGTATTTTTAGTAGGTAGTCACTTGCTTTAATTTTGTAAATGATCTCAATGGCCATCCATGGGAAGTATACTGAACCCACACAGGGCATTGTAATAACCCTAAATTAAGCACAGAAAACATTTTATAAGAGTTTTACTTGACGAAGAAAAGTAAAAATAGTGAAGGCGAGGCATTAAATGTTTAAGATGATATAACACTTATTAAATGCATTGAAATATGGAGTTATTTTCATGAGTGTACTTTACAGCAACAATCTGGATATGCAGTAATGACCAATATGCTGATCAATTTTGATCTCTTTATTTCTCCCTTTTAACCTCTGCAACTACCGAAAGATTTGAATATGGAAAAGACAAACATTTTCAGAATATTCCTACAAATTATCTGGTTCTACATGAATTTATCAATTTTCAAGCAGAATTTTAAATTTGTGTGCTGCTTCAAAAGAATATGTATTATAATTCTAACAAATTAAAATTTTATATGAAATAAACATACTGTTAAACTGCCTATTGCATGATTTAGAGATAGTAATTTTGAAGGAAGGTTGTGCTTAATCATTCCACTCACTGTTTCCAATAGTAGCATGAGAAAAAAATTAATCACAGTTAATTTTAAACCACAATTTGTATATTCTGATTAAAAATATCTTTTGTTAGATGCTAAAAATTAATAACAAGATAAAATTAAATCTTTCAAATCTGCATAAATATTATTCATTCTTTTGCTTCTAAAATATGATTTTTTAAGATTTATACTGATGTTTTGAAGAAAAAAAATTTCAAATAATGAAGGCAGTTTAGAAATTTGAGATAATGTGAATATCTACGACAACAGAAAAAAATGAGGATCCTTGAAAAAACAAGAGGTTAAAATATTATACTTTTGGAACACTACCCCTGATACTATGAATTTTCGTTTCCCTTCCAGCAATTTAGATTCATATAATAAAGAAACAGTTTACAAAGGCTAGAATATGTGTTACAAGGCATCAGGTGTGTATATAAAAATTAGTATGTGATGCTAATTAACACAGTGCACTTATTTAATATAATTTCAGCAAATACATTTAAATAACTAGAAATATAAAACAATACATCTAAAATGAAGAAAGACTATGAAAAGACTGTATATGCATGCTGTTACAAACATGCAGATGCTTGTTCAGATTGGAGTTTAGTTTATATCTAATGCATGATGATAAAAATTGATTACAGGTGTACACGCTTATAGTGAAATATGATGCTACCAATAAATGTAAGAAAACAGTTCAAATGCTTTCAAGACTTTTGTACTTATTATTACAGAACCATTTAATATGTCTCATGTGTTTTATGCTACACAATCAAGGTTTTCTTGATCTAACTTGAATCTAATATAAATTATAATTTATAATTTTTTGTCAGTAGACTGGAAATAAATTATAATTTTTTGTCAGTAGACTGGAAAATTTTACACTGCCAATTTTTAAAGCAAATAGGTCATCCATTACTAAGAATGAAAATTATTTTGCAACACTGCACAGTTTCAAATATAAGAATGTGCTTATATTATTTCTTGTGAACTTTCAGATGCAGCTTTTTAAAAAGAGAAGAATATATCAACCTTTTAGAAGCACTGAACTGTAATGACCTTTATTTTTTACTAACTAAAAGAATCACAATATAATGACTCATTAAATTGTTTTTCTGTTAATAATAAAAAATAAAGGTTTGAGTTTTGTCCTTCATTAAAAATTTATGATTATCATAATATTCTAAAATTTTACCTGTGCATTCATCTGACGATAGCAAGATATTCCATAAACAGTTTGATGAGGCTTTTCTAAAGATGGCAGATGAAAGTAGATGGTATCTGGGGGGGGGATTAGAAAAATGCTATTCTATTACATTCATAATTCTAATACTAAAACGGGAAAATTGGGAAAACAATGAAAAATAAAAATAGCTTTATAATAAACATTGGGGGAAAGAGAAAAAGAAATATATATATATATTTATTTATTTACTTACTTAAATAGATACTAATGTAACAAGCTATCTAATTTATTAAGATTTTTGTTTCAGATATACAGTCACTTTCAGGAGATCAGCCGAGAAAAAAATGCTAAAGTATTCATTTTGAATTTACGTTGCATCCTAATTTTACAACCTAAAAACTTGGATATAAAGTTTGGCTTAAAAGCAAAGCAATGTTATGTTTTTAACAAGATATGATTAATTAAATCAAGTGATACAAATATATTATGTGATATATTTAAGCATATTTAAAGTATATTTTTCACATATGTCATCAACCCTTTTAGCAACGGGACAGCTTTTAAGCAGTCAAATTGTGCTCACTCTGCATATCCTACCCTCTTAGTTTCCTAAAAAACTTTAAATTGATTCTTATAATCAAAAGATTGTGAAAACAATAAAATAAATTTAGTATAATCAGGGAAGCAAATGCTTTAAAAATTTGCATTATGAATAAAATTTGCTTCTCAGAGCATTCACAAGTCAGATTTGTTCTCAATTTAAATCAATGATCTACTGTGCAATACATCAGTAATAACAGAACTAGTAAGAGTGATAAGAACAGTAATAATAATAAATGCATAATCTCTTTTTTAAAATTTAAATGAGCAAAGTATAAACTTGTAGAAAAACCTTAACTATCAGATACCACAAATATCAGAAGTTAGAAATTAGTCTACAACTAATTTAATATGTTTTACTTGCTGAATTTGGATATTTTGAGACAAAAAGATTATGATGATCATGGTATTACAGAGGATGGAGTTGGTGCTGGAAAATTAAGATTTTACCCTTTTTTGCTGGGCTCACCATTAAAACAGGTCTCTTAACCCCTTGACATACAATGATGTCCGGGAGATGTCATTGATTTCACGTGCCATAGTAGACTTTGACATCTCCGAGACGTCAAAAACTGTTTTCAGTGAAGGCCTTACAGTATATTATTATTGTTATATAGCAATATGAATTTGAAAATAAAACGTTCTGTTTGAGCTTGCTCATGAGTGTCCAAATTAAATGGTATTCTTTGGATGCGTATTTTATTTGTATGTCAAGGGGTTAAAAATATATTAGGATTATTTCTACTATTCTTATCTTTCTTTTGCCATATATTGCCTTGCAGCAATTTATGCCATCACTAGCTTCCCAATTAACTTTTTTAAATTGTCCAACATTAAATCTAGCTCTTCAAATTTTACAAATCTTGTTCCAATACTGACAAAGGCTTCAGCTGAGTCTTTAATTATAAACTTTCTTGATTTCTGGATTCAGTGTTTTTGAATTTGTATTAGCTGCTTTTCAATCAACATACATACTTTAATAGTAAATTCTTGGAATTGAATGCTATAAAAGACATTTTCATTAATAACCAACTACAACGTACTTTTAAGATTCATTGCAGTTTTTCTGTCTTTACTGAGAATCTTTTGCAAAAAACAGTTAAAACAGTCACAGTTTGTTCATATCTGGGTGTTTCATTATGGTCTAAGAGCAATGATTCTGTTGGCATCAGACATTTCATAATTCTTCCTGAACTTGCTTTGGTGAAGATACTATCTCACCGTTCAAGATTATCACATCATTTTCCATATCCCAGATTCTCTGCATGAATGTAAGCCTTAACCCTAGATTAAGCGTATGGGTGATAGGTGTGAAATGCACACCTGCAAAAAATAAGGGTGACCAGACAAAAGCCCACTGGACGAAAGCGCACGCGACAAAAGCCCACAAAAAACACCCCACTGAGATAATTGCCCATGCGACTAATACCCACACCGATGAAGCGCACATTGATAAAAGCCCACATAGATACAGCGCATGCTGTAGCCACACTGACAAAAACCTACCGATTACTCTACGTTAAAATTAATATTTTTCCTTTTCTCAGCTTCACAAAGCAGATTCTGAATAAAGATAAAATAAAAAAAATAAATTATAAAAATAATTGAACAATAAGTAAGTGCGGAAAACAGTAGTTGGGGAGGGTGAATTAAAAGCCAGATGAGAGAGAACAGAGAGGCAGCAAAAGAAGAGAAGGAAAAACATATACATGATGCGTAACTTTGTTTTATATTAGCGACAAAGGAAGTGCCATCTATAAGTCCGACAAATGGAATATGGCCACACTGCTTCTTTAATCTAAATTTATAAAAGGTATGTAAATTTCATCATAGACAGAGAAAATTAACATTGCGAAAATTTTGCGAAAGGAATTATATGGCGAATTAAGCTCAAGTCAATCAGGAAAAAAAAATAAAAGTACGTTTGTATCTGATAGAAAAATTTGTGCACATCACAAAACCTGTTTTAATAGGACTTAAGCAGTTTCAATAATCTAGTTAATTTTGAAGACTGGATTTGAAATAAATTAATCCATTCCACTTGAAATTTTTTGTAATCATAATATTATACTCGAAAATTTTCATAAGTCTAGCTATTTTGGATTTCTGAAAGTGTTGTGTTAAATGGGCATCGATCGTGGGCTTTTGTGTTGCAGTTTTAATGTTCAAATTTAACATCATTTTCCATATCCAGATTCTCGCATGATAAGTACTGGCGCTGGATATCAGGAGGGAACCATTGCGTTCCTTTTCTTTGCCAGATGGTGAAAAAGCAGATACAAAGAGACCTTGCTTAATTGCTATCCTATCGACTAGGTGCAAAGAATGGCCCCTCAGAAGGGACGGGATGGCAGAAAGAAGCATTTTAAAGGGGGTCAGAAAAAATTAAAGGGGTTTAATGTTTTTGTTAGTCAAGAAAAAACAATCTGAAATCCGCTTGTAATGAAGTTAACTTGTCCTTGGATTTAGTTAGTTGTCGAATATTTTGATCAATTTGTTGAAAAGAAAAATTAAAATTTTACACCTTTTTCAAGGGTAATTCATGTTTTTGCAACAGTTCATTTAATTACGTATTGATTAGATACAAAACTTTCAATGAAGCAAATTAAACAGATTTAAAACTGATTTCACTGGAACACTTTTTTGTGGGTTTTATGCTGTTATTACATGTTGAATATATTCCCTAGATTAAGAAGAATCATAACATGTAAAAAAATTATTATTTAGAAAACTATCAAACTTCAGTCATTTTCTTCAATGGAAATGCACGTTTCCCTTACGAATTCCATTTCCTGACAACAGAATAGGGCCAATCTTCTAAGATATTTCTTATAAACCTGGGTGTTTGCGATCAGTAGAAAAAATGCTTCAACTTGGAGCTACGTTTTGAATATTTTTTTCTATTGAATGATCAAAATTTCTTATCTTGTTTTCTAGCATGAATGTTTCACCATTTTTAGGGTTTTTTCCTAGAATAATTAATTAGCAGAAGTTAGAAGAACAAGTAAGGTATACTTCAATTTGAACGCTTAAGTTTACTAATCTGGTTATTATCAAATAAACGTTTTTGAATCACGTCAAATTTTAAACTTTTTTTTTTTTTTTAATTTGTGTCTTAACTTTTATTTTCAAACATGCACGTAATCCAAGTTTTATATAACAAAAATATAAGAGAAGTGAGACAAATTAAATTATATGTCCATTCAGTCACTATCAAAACTAATTCTGCTAAAAGTTGTACATTAAAAATTCATCATCCAATCTTAAGCTTTTCATGTAGGCACAAGACTGACCAGCGGCCAAGTGGTAAAAACAGTGAACATTGGTAGCTCGGTCCGGGGTTAAAATATCGATGGAAAGGCTGACTGCATAGGCACTTTTGTGGTTTTCCCCTTGCGTAACATGTATACAAGCAAGTTTCCTTAAAAAGTCCTCCACGAAGGCATCCCTTTCCTTGGCTTAGTGCCATTTCATCCTTTCTCTTTTCATGCCAAGTTCGAAATAGTGTCGCTTGTCCGCTGCTGTCCGCGCTCTCTTTCCCGTTCCATTCTCTGTTCGAAAAGTCACTTTATGATTAAGAAAAGATATATTCAGACGAATGACCCTTACCATTGACTGACTTAGCTTTGAGTTCTAATATTTATTAAACATTTCTTTAGATCTTTTATTCCGAGCAGAATAATGAATTTCAGATATGTTCAAGAGGTGTTTTTGAATCTAATTCCATTTTTGTCATTATAGTGTTATGTTTTTTATTTCACATACTTCTAAAATAGAACCACTGTTCCTCTGCTTTGACAAAAATCAAAATGTAGAAGTGTATAACAAGATGTACATGTTTTACTAAAAATATAGTGAGCCCTCTATAACGCAACCGTTCACGGTTTTAAAGGATTTGGTGTAGATATGGTGGTCTTAGAAATATGATATCACTGGCAATGTTTGTTATCTTCACAAAAATACAGGTCTCTTTCAAAAGGCGACGTCTTAGAAATGTCTTCAATAGATATAATTCACTATAATTACTATTTTCTAATGTGTGTGTGTGTGTGATTATGGCAAAGCCTCGAAGGCTATCTGCCTAAGGGGAAGAATGCTTTCGTGGAGGGCTTTCTAAGGGAAACTGGCTCGTATACACGTTACACATGGGGAAAACTACGAAAACACACATGCAGCCCCAGCCCGTTCACAGGATTCGAACCTCGGACCGAATTACCAGTGTTCAGCGACTTTACCGCTCGGCTGCTGGTGGGCTTATTTTCTAATGGATAATGGAATTAATTTAATCTAATGTCAGCCAGAAAACGGCTATTTACAATAGGGAGATTTAAAAGCACTGTAACTGTAATTATGAGCACAGTAGTAATTTTTCTTTTCACAATCAGCTATTAGATAAGTATTAGCTGCTTTCCGTGTATTTTTCATGTTATATAACTGATATTCATACGTCTTGAACAAATATACAGCAAAATGCAAGACAAATTATTAAAATATACAATTTGAAACATTAATACTATTTTCTATTTGCTATAATAATACTATTAATGAATGATGAATTTATATATATGTTATACTTAGAATCTAAAAACGATTGAATTTTGAATCTGTTGATGTATAAATATATTTTAGTAGTTACAAATTTTATTAGATGTTATTATATGCATAGTTCTTTGTAATCTTCAAATCTCTAATAAAATGCTTCATATTTATTACTATACTTTGAGGTGATTGTACTTAAATTTGTAGATATGTTGACTTCTAAGAGTTGTTCCATGCCCCCCCAAAAAATAAATAAAATTAAAAACACTATTCCAAATTGCTGTAGTTAAAGTATTAAGATGTTATATTTGGAATTCATTTTCTGCCAGGGTGTCAGCTGACAGTTTTAATTTATTCAGAAATATAAAAGAAAATATCCCTAGAAAATTGCCAAATTATAATTGTTACATTTAAAAAAGCTTTCGATGAGAAATATATTATAATAATATATATAAATGGGCTTTTATCAGCGTGGGCTTATATCTATGACCACATTAATAACATCTTCATTTAAACAATTAATCAACTATGCTGCTTTCATTGTCTTTAACACAATGTTATTATCTCTTCATCTTTCATCATAATTTTTGCAGCAGTTAAATGAATAAGTATTTTTGTGTTGAATGATCATGCCTGGAGTTTCTCTCAGCATTTATTTATTTATTTATTTTACCTCGACTTTCTTTTTAGCCACCTTGCGAATGAAGATGCCTGCTAGGTGATGTCATTATACTGAAATATGAACTCACCAGCCAGATGACTCAAGACCACTGAAGGAGAAACTCGCACACTGCAAGTCGTGATGGGTTTAAAAATTTTACTTAGACTTTCCATGTACCCATTAATATTATGTACGAGTATGTTTCTTTGTTCATATTAAAATTTGCTTTGTGCAAAGATGTATTGATCATTTGCATAAATGTCTCTCGAAGGATTGCAGATGAAAGGAATATCATCTAGTCGCCCTGGCAAAAGAACCTGCTAAAATCAAGGTAATCACTTTCTTATGTTTTACTTGATTACTTGAATATGAAAGATAAAAAGCCATGACTATATGGAGGAAACATAAATGCATATAATAAATCGCATTAAAAATTAATGTGAAACAGATTCTGTAAGTGCTACTAAAAAGTGCACTGCTCAATAAATTAAAATCATTAAAAGAAGTCATCTTAATATAACATTTAACCATTTTTTGCAATAAACGTTAGTTACACCATAAGTGTCATACATAAAATAAGTTCCTGGTCTATTGTTTCTATATTTTAACATTTTCCTATGTATATAACCTTTATATCACAAATTAATATTGAAATTTCTCCAGAGCTGAATTTTATTTAACAGTAAAGATTTAGTCTCCAGTAGATATTAAATTCATTTAAAAAGAGAAATGAAATATTTGTGCAGTTTTCATTACTTTTCTTTTAAAAAAGAAGCAAATGGCGATTTTTTCATTTCCTCATGTAACCCATACAAAACAAGATTAATCATTACTATAAAGATGTTATGTTAAAGAACCATTTAATGCCATACATGGAATAACTGAGTGAAAGCATTGAGAAATATACCTCCAATAAGTAGTATACTATGTAAATACATAAGAGAAAAATTGCAGTCACTAATAAATAAGTCCTTTAAAAATCAATTCACAGATAAAAACAATGGAAAAAATAGCCTTTTACACATACAGATTCTTTTATATAATTTTAGTACCTTTTTTACTATCTGCACCCCCCCCACTGAAAAATCATGAACCTGCCAACTTTGAACAACACTCACAAACTCAATGGCAGCTATATATATATATATATATTTTTTTTTTCCAAAGCAACCAATTTTTCATGCTTTTTGTACTGTGATTGTTCCTATGTACACAACAGAGCTCACTAAAACGAAAAGAGAGAGAGAGGGAATTCCATAAACTTGGCATCAAGTAACTTCCACATTGCGTATCGGCCAAAAGTGACATGCCCCTGGCCATATCATGGTTTGTTACATGACTATTTTCACAACATACTGCTTTACCCCATTAATACTTCTTTATGACTTTTCCGTGTGGCTGCAAATAACTCAAAAGTATCCAATTTTCTTAATTTATTCATACTTTTGACATTCTGATAAAATTCACCACTAAATTTCTTATTACGCTTCAGATGACAGCTATAGCAATCTTACTTCTCACCCATGCACCACAAAAAAATTGTGTCTCCTCTACACGAATTCAAATCACATCATGTGAAATGTTTTAATGGTGTACTCTTAACTTCTATTAAATTTTATACTTCAATACCTTCAGTATTGAAGCAAAGAAAAAAAACTAATGAGCTAATATAGCATATGGCCTGCAAATGTTTGTCTTCCAATCATATGCCATATAGGAAAAAGGGTACTTCTTTGTTACAGCAGCACCCAGCTATATTCGGCAATTTTAGATTTGTGCCTAGATTTCAAGCTATAATTTTGACATGCTTGTAAAGCATGAATGTAAAATTAAACATACAATACATAATAATAACAATAATACTCGCATGACATTTTCTAAGAATATTTATTATTTTATTCCTTATAACTGCTCCAGTCAATTGCAGCACCTTCACATATCTTAAGCTATTTGTTACACCATTTCATGGACATCAACTTCTCTGCCCAAGAATACATACACCTAATAGAAGTGAGGAACTATATTCTGTAACCACTGAACCAATTTCCATCCCAGAGAGTTTCCTCTCCCCCAAGCTCCAAACAGTTTTGTCGTTAACAAAGTTTCATGTTGTAGTCATTTTTGCATATTCCTTTGTCAGGTAAAAGACTTCTTTCTTGAGAAA